CTCTTTGCCTGACGTTCCGGACCCGGCGTCTGACCGGTTTCGTGCTGAGCACCCTACTGTCACGCGTCTCCTCGCCACTGTTGTCACTGACCCGTCGTTTGAGTCTGCTGTTGCGTCTGCTCTTGTCGCTGAGCTTGTTGACTTTGCTGCTGCCTGTCGTCTAGACTTCACTGCCAGTCTTGTTACTGAGTCTGAGTCTGTCTGTCCTCCGTCCGTCGGGGGTGAGTGTGCTCTTGGCACGGACGTCCTTGAGGACATGCAGGAGGACTTTGACTCTCTTGCGGCTGCTGTACCTCATCTCGTGGCCTGGTTGCTTGCCCCTGAGGGAGACCCGGATGCACTAGACATCCCCACTCCGCGCACTTACGCAGAGGCGATCTCGGGTCCCTACTCCTCTCAGTGGCAGACAGCCATGGACGCAGAGATGGCATCCTGGAAGTCCACAGGCACCTACGTCGACGAGGTTCCCCCTCCTGGGGCGAACATCGTCGATGGCATGTGGATTTTCAGGGTGAAGCGGCCGCCAGGTTCTCCGCCTGTCTTCAAGGCTCGTTACGTTGCTAGAGGCTTCAGTCAGCGTCAGGGGGTTGACTTCTTCCAGACCTTCTCCCCCACTCCGAAGATGACCACTCTTCGGGTTCTACTGCACGTTGCTGCTCAGCGTGACTACGAGCTTCACTCTCTTGACTTCAGCACAGCGTTCTTGCAGGGCAGCCTGCACGAGGAGATCTGGCTGCGCCGCCCACCTGGCTTTACTGGGTCGTTTCCTCCTGGTACCCAGTGGAGTCTCCGCCGGCCAGTCTACGGTCTCCGCCAGGCGCCACGTGAGTGGCACGACACACTGAGGACTACACTTGCGGCTCTTGGGTTCGCGCCGTCTACTGCTGACCCGTCGCTGTTCCTGCGCACAGACACGTCGCTGCCGCCGTTCTACATTCTCGTGTACGTCGACGACTTGGTTTTTGCTACTGCTGACACTGAGGCACTCGCTCGTGTGAAGTCGGAGCTGCAGAAGAGACACACCTGCACTGACCTGGGTGAGCTGCGTAGCTACCTTGGCTTGCAGATCACCCGGGACAGAGCACGCCGCACCATTACCCTGACTCAGTCACACATGGTGCAGCAGGTCCTTCAGCGCTTCGGCTTCCAGTTCTCCTCACCACAGGCCACACCTCTGGCTACCAGCCACTCGCTCTCAGCTCCACCTTCGGACGAGTCCGTAGAGCCGAGTGGCCCGTACCCAGAGCTTGTAGGCTGCCTCATGTACCTGATGACTTGCACGCGACCTGACCTCGCGTACCCTCTTAGCATCCTTGCTCGTTACGTTGCGCCTGGGAGACACAGGCGAGAGCACTGGGAGGCTGCTAAGAGGGTGCTGCGTTACTTGTGCAGTACGTCAGGCATGGGGCTGGTGCTTGGAGGACGCGACAGAGTTGTCCTCACTGGTCACTCGGACGCTTCTTGGGTGGACGACCTGGCTACGCAGCGGTCGTCACAGGGTTACACCTTCAGCCTTGGCTCTGGTTCTGTCTCGTGGCGGTCCACCCGCTCTTCTTCTGTTCTCGGCTCTAGTTGTGAGGCTGAGATCTACGCCACGGCCATGGCTGCACAGGAGTTACGCTGGCTCACCTACCTGCTGACTGACTTGGGAGAGCGGCCTAGTTCTCCTCCAGTTCTGTACGGTGACAACAAGGCGGCCCTTGCCTTGTGTCAGGAGCACAGACTGGAGCACAGGACGAAGCACATTGCTCTTCGCTACTTTCTTGCTCGAGAGCTTCAGCAGCGCGGTCAGCTTTGGCTTGTGTACGTGGACTCGAAGGCCAACACTGCTGATATCTTCACCAAGGCGCTCCCGCCTAGTGATCATCAGCGACACTGTACTTCTTTAGGCCTTGTGTCCACATTCCCTCATTTGCTTACTGCTTGACTTTCTTTGTACTGTACTTTATATATATCTTGTTGCTTGCTTGCTAGGTTTTGATCACTGTGTTGCTTGTCTTGTACTATATCTAGCACTGCATGTGAACTGGCCTTGTGGCCTTTGCTTGTGCTCGGAGTGTGGTGACGTTGTGATCCACCCTGGGCTTGCGTTGCTTTGCTGGACTGGTCTTGTGACCCTTTGTTCTCCCCCACTTTGCCTATGGGGGTGTGTTAAATGTTGGTAGGCTGTAGTGGGGTAGTCAATATGGGGTACAACCCCAACTAGGGTTTGCTACTTGTACCAACTGTTTCATTCAATGCACATCATTCCTGCCTGTAGATTCTAACAAGGTCCTAGTCTAGCCCGTCAGAGGTCCACTGGAGATCGCCGATTGATCCTAGGGAAGGGTTACAGGCACGTTGGCCTGGGGGGTTATGGGCGCAGTGACCCACGACACAAACAAGTCATTTTATCCCAGTGGTTAATGCCTGGGAATCTGACAGAGCCATGTACTTCCAGGGGTATATTCCATTATTCAAATTCAAACCCAACCGTGTGGCACGTACAATTTTGAATCTCTTTCCGCCAATTTCCTTGCTCCTGCAGCTGCCCGATGTTGTCTGCTCCTACGGTCCAGATGCTCTCCAACTGTTTGCGTCGCTTTGACCCTTCGTCTTTGTACTCTCTTCTGTGTTCCTTGTTTTTGCTCCTGACAGTGTTGCACAGTGTTGCTTCTTGTTTTGCTATCCGTAACAAGGAGTAAGGTATTTAGTTTAGAACACATCGAGAGGACCCCGTCTCAATGTGAAGGTGTTTTAGGACACCTAATTTATGTATTTTGCATCATCTATAGTGATGTCGTGTCAAATTTTATGTGGCATATTATTATCCTTGACGTAGTCAATGTCTCAGATGCAAACTTTGGCGTGTTGACAGTGTTAGGCCAAAGTCAATTATGAAAGTTGCTTGCAATGCTATTAGATATTATGAAGAAATAGTAGTGTGTGTAAAATATTTTGTTGTGTGCCTTATTGAAAACGACCTCGTTGGTGGTCACCCTAGATTCTTCCCATGAATTTTAGTGAAGGCCTTTGCGGGACTCGGGGATAACTGTATGGCCCAGTTTTTGCTTCGGTCACGCCCCCCCAAACCAGACCGAGATACAACTTTCGCAAACTGACCCGAACGAAATGCAACTCGATGGACGGTAACAAGCTCGCCGGAATAAAAGCGAGCCTCGTCGGCCAGTTACTTTCGCAAAAAACAACCCGCGAAGCATGGGCTGAACCGACCTTACACGCCCTGATTTGGGTCAGTAACAGAAGCCTGATTCGGGGGAAGGCCAGATATCCTTTTCCAAGCCAGAACTTGGAACGCGTTTCTCCAACAAGCAGCCAATGGAAGCTATAAGGGTGTGTAAGATCCCCGTGCACACGTTTTGGCTGAATTTTGTCGACCATTTTGGTCGACAAAGCTTTCGCGAAGGTCGACAGATTAGTCGTCACCAGGTCGACAAATTTTCGGCCAACTCAGTGTGGCCTCCAAATCTGACACGGTTTTGCTGGCCGCTGTAACAGAGGTGGAAGATTTCGGTTTGTCCTTTTTTACGACTTGGTGCGACGATGTCGCACACATGAATACGATGTCGCAATTTCACTGTAGCAGCGTATGCGACTTCGTTTCTCACTGTAGACAGCTGCTGTCGACAGCATGGCCGATTTGAAGTCGACCACGCGTCGGAAAAGAGTCGACTAGTTTTCCGGCCAACTAATTTGAAATCACAAATTTGATGGTTGAAATTGACGAGATTCGCAAACCGATCACGAAATGGTTACTTTCGCTACGGCCACCTAATTTTGATGGCCGATTCTGTGTGCACGGGGATCTTACACGCCCTAATTCCCGCTTCTACTTCTTATCCCATCAGCACGGCGAGCCGTTTTTCGACGCGCTTCCCGCTTCCGCTTCCTGCTTCCAATGTGATGCTGCTGGTGCTTCCGTGTATTGCGATTCTTGCCACAACAACTGCTGAACCTCATTGGTTCGCGAGCAATAGTCCCACCGCGATGGCTTTGGGACCCTGCGTTGCGCGGCCCGCGTTCTTAGACTCAGATCCGCTCGTCCCACACATTTCACTCGAGCCAGCCAAGCACTTTATCGCGTTCCACACTTTTCTAATTATTCTCGGTTCAAGATTAACTGGACTCGCACGCGTTCGTCGTGTGCGCTTCCTCTTGCCTCGCCCTTCATGTGCTTCCCCTTGCTGCGCCCTTCATGTGCTTCCCCTTGCTGCGCCCTTCATGTGCTTCCCCTTGCTGCGCCCTTCATGTGCTTCCCCTTGCTGCGCCCTTCATGTGCTTCCCCTTGCTGCGCCCTTCATGTGCTTCCCCTTGCCTCGCCCTTCATGTGCTTCCCCTTGCTGCGCCCTTCATGTGCTTCCCCTTGCTGCGCCCTTCATGTGCTTCCCCTTGCTGCGCCCTTCATGTGCTTCCACTCCACTCGCGACGCCCTGCATGTGCTTCAGGTTCCCATCCTCGGAGAAGACAATCAGCACGAGTGCTTCCGTGCTGTCTGCTCTCTGTGTTGTCATAGTGGAAAACAGTGGTAAGCTTTTTGCTCACCCTTCTAGAGTGGGACGCCCCTAAAATTGTGGGTTTCCCAAGGGCGGGAATCCAGGAGGTTGTTATTCCCAAGGTTGGGTATCAAAGAGGTTGTTTTTTCCAAAGGTTGGGTATCAAAGAGGTTGTTTTTTCCAAAGGTTGGGTATCAAAGAGGTTGTTTTTTCCAAAGGTTGGGTATCAAAGAAGTTGTTATTCCGAAGGTTGGGTATCCAAGAGGTTGTTATTCCGATGGGCGGGTGGGATGTTGCGTCTGCCTGGATTCGAGCAGCCGTGCCTTCCAATAAGGCAAGTGAGCTCGTTGGAAACTCTTGAGATGTCTCAAAAGGCGGTGCCTTTCAACAAGGCTAGAGACGCTCTTAGGCTATCCCCCTTAAGACGTCTTTTAGCCCATCAATTTTTGAGGCACCTCAAAAGAGCTTTTAGGCTATCGCCCTTAAGGCGTCTTTTAGCCCGTTGCAATGTCCTCTTGCCTCTATGATGCGGTTGCTGCCTCTACGTCAGTCCAAATCCCTTTTGGTTTGTTTGCCCATCACCTTCTTTTCACGCTTGCTGCAGATCCTGCCTGCGCGGCGGTGGGTTGTGACTGGGATGGCACCTGTGTGGTGGATGAGAAGGGACAGCTTTCCTGCCTCTGTGAGTCCTCTACCTCTCCTATGCTCAACTCAGCTCAACTCAACTCAACCCTCACATTATTAGCTCTAATGCTTGGCACCAGTAGGTGAGCGTTCCTGCCAGTGGGGTGAGTGAGCATGGCGTTACTGCCAATGGGGTGAGTGAGCATGGCGTTCCTTCTGTCCCGTTCTCAACTCTTCTCAGCCATTCTACCAACTTGTAACATCCAGCCAGCGAAATCAACCCCACCCGTCGTGCGCTTGTTTCTTGTTTAGGTGCCTCACAACCTTCCACTTAGTGCCTGCCTTTCTAGCCAACGTGAGAGCGCATAATGCTTCGTCGTTCTGCTACCTCCTTTCCCTCATGCCTATGTTGGGGCTCCACTCCTCCTCCACTAGCAATCACGCTCGCATACCGCACTGCACTCACGTTCATCCCTTATTCATGGTTTTCATCCCATTGTATTACTTGTCCCTTGCTTCTTCCCCTCTGCCTCGCTTCCCCCCTCTGCCTTGCTTCTCCCCCTCTACTTTCTTCCCCCTACTGCCGCACTTCCCCCCTCTGCTTTCTTTGCCCTTCTGCCGCGCTTCCCCCCTATCCCTTTTTTTTCCCCTCTCTGCCTCACGTTCCCCCTCTGCCTTGCTTCTCCCTCTCCCTTGCTTCTCCCCCTCTGCCTTGCTTCCCCCCTCTGCCTTGCTTCTCCCCCTCTGCCTTGCTTCTCCTCCTCTGCCTTGCTTCTCCCACTCCCTTGCTTCTCCCCCTCTGCCTTGCTTCTCCCCTCCCTTGCTTCTCCCCCTCTGCCTTGCTTCTCCCCCTCCCTTGCTTCTCCCCCTCTGCCTTGCTTCTCCCCCTCCCTTGCTTCTCCCCCTCTGCCTTGCTTCTCCCCCTCCCTTGCTTCTCCCCCTCTGCCTTGCTTCTCCCCCTCCCTTGCTTCTCCCTATCATTCCCTTATGTGTGCTCCTTAGCCTCACCCTGTAGTGCCTGCCCCTCTAACCTCAATCTCCACTAGCAATTGCACTCACATACCGCACTGCACCCATGCCCACCCCTCAGTCCCACCCTGTGGCGAATGCCCCTCGGGAGCCACCTGCAAAACTGTGCGTGACGAGTTCAACAATAACAAGCCCATTCCTTACTGCGCTTGCGCTAAAGGCTATGGGATGACCAAGACCAAGTGTGTTAAGGGTGAGGTTGCCCCATTTTCTCCTCTCCATTCTCGTCCCGTTCTTTCTTCCATATTTTACCCGCACTCACTACTCGCCCCACGCGCTCCTCTCCCCCGGTCACTCCACTCACGCTGCTAGTAGGCTGATGCGAGCAACTGATGCGTGTTGAAGTTGTGGGAAATGGTCATGCGTATGAATGCATGAAGGGCTTACATGAATGTGGAAATGCGTGAAGGGATTCATGAATGTGGGATTTCATGAAGGATGCATGAGTGTGGGAATGCTCGAAGGGATGCACGAGTGTGGGAATGCATGAAGGTGCAAGAAACAGTGTGCTGCGTCCATCCTTGTGCCACTGTTTTCTCAGGTGGCACTCCCACCGTCGCTTCAACCAGCTTCACACTCATCGTAAATCGACATGCCTCTGGCGAAGCGTCGCTGCCCTATACGTTTCGCCCCAACCTGAATGCCTGCACTCAATACCCGGAGGCAGTGCGTGGCAAGTACACGACAGTGTATAATGTCGAAAACATCGGCGACGCTCCAAGATGCCGGACTTACAAGTTTTTCTCAGAAGACAACTGTGCAGGCGATCCTGTGACCGAGACCGACAATTCAAACTCGCCGTTTTTTCTTTACTCCATTGAGTGAGTCATTTATCCTGTTCCAACCCCACTGCGAGTGATTGGCCTTTCTCCACCTGCACACTTGATGTATTTTCCACTTCCTTCCTGCACCTATCACCTATTTCCTGCACACTTGCACAGCCTTTGCACTTCCTTCATGCACCTATCAACCTTTTTCCTTCACACTTGTTCACCCTTTGAACGAACTTCCCGCACCTGTCAGCAATTTTCCTGCCCAGTGGCACATCCTTTGCAGTTCCTTCCTACACCCATCAACTTTTTTCCTGCACACTTGCACAGCCTTTGCACTTCTTCATTCACCTATCACCCTTTTTCCTGCACAGTTGCTCATGAAAGTCATCGTATCTTCTGTGTCCTCCCCTTGTTACCATTTTAACAGGGACAACCCTGTACCTTTCTCCAAGTACGTGTTCCGTTCAGTCATGTGCTCTACATAGTAGGATGACAAGGATGGCTGCATAGAACATCATAATGTGACCTGGACAGACTATCATGGTGGCATGGCTGGACAGGCTATCATGTCACCTGCACATGCTTCAACTAGGATGGCTACCCACTTCTGCTCCTTGAAACGTCCATTTCCTCTTCCACTCAAACCCTTCTCTCCTTCACTCATCCACTCAATAATAACATTTCTAGAACATAAAATGGTGCTTCTTTCTTGTCTACCATAGCGCTTGCCCTAGGGATGTCTTGATTGAGACTTGCAGATCTACATGTGTTGGGTACAAAAGGTTGAAACTGTACTTGTTTAAACCCTCTCCCATCAATGTTTCAAAGATTGCATGCCCTTGCCACTGTCTAGATAGCTAGGCAAGGTTGGTTGCACTATCGAGAGAAATTGGTACAAGAAGGAGAACCCTAAAGTGTTATACCCCATAACATCTACCCCACTACAGCCTACCAATATACAACGTATATATATCATTTGACACACCCCCATAGGCAAAGTGGGGGAGAGCAAAGGGTCACAAGACCAGTCAAGAGAAGCAAAGCAAGCTCAGGGTGGATCACAACGTCACCACACACTCTGAGCACAAGCAAAGGGCCACAAGGCCAGTTCACATGCATAGATATACATGCAGCAATAACAGTACAGTGATGACTATCTAGCAAGAGCCAGCAAGCAGGTATATATATATATATATATATATATATATATATATATATATATATATATATATATATATATATATATATATATCACAGTACAAGCAAAGACTACAGCAAGTGTGGAAACGTAGGCACAAGGCCTAACAGGGTACAGAAGCGCTGATGATCACCAGACGGAAGTGCCTTGGTGAATATATCAGCAGTGTTGGCCCGAGTGGCCACGTGACGAAGACGAAGCTGACCTCGCTGCTGCAACTCTCGAGCCAAGAAGTAACGCAGAGCGATGTGCTTCGTTCTGTGCTCCAGTCCGTGCTCCTCACACAAGGCAATGGCTGCCTTGTTGTCAACGTACAGAACTGGAGGAGAACGAGGCCGCTCACCCAAGTCAGTCAGCAGGTAGGTGAGCCAGCGTAGCTCCTGTGCAGCCATGGCAGTGGCGTAGATCTCAGCCTCACAATTGGAGCTGAGAACAGAAGACGAGCGTGTAGACCGCCAAGAAACAGAGCCAGAGCCAAGGCTGAAGGTGTAACCCTGTGACGACCGCTGTGTAGTCTGGTCGTCAACCCAAGACGCGTCAGAGTGTCCAGTGAGGACCACCTCGCTCCGTCCTCCAAGCACGAGCCCCATGCCCGATGTACTGCACAGGTAGCGCAGTACCCTCTTCGCAGCATCCATGTGCACCTTTCGGTGCCTGCCAGGAGCCACGTAGCGAGCCAAAAGGCCAAGAGGGTACGCGAGGTCAGGTCGAGTGCAGGTCATCAGGTACATGAGGCAGCCTACTAGCTCTGGGTAAGGACCACTCGACTCTACGGACTCGTCCGAAGGTGGAGCTGAGAGCGAATGACCTGTAGCCAGAGGAGTGGCCTGTGGGGAGGACCAGGAGAAGCCGAAGCGCTGAAGGACCTGCTGCACCATGTGTGACAGAGTCAGGGTGATGGTGCGGCGTGCTCTGTCCCGGGTGATCTGCAAGCCAAGGTAGCTGCGCAGCTCACCCAGGTCTGTGCACGTGTGTCTCTTCTGCAGCTCCGAATTCACCTGAGCGAGAGCCTCAGTGTCAGCAGTGGCAAAGACCAAGTCGTCGACGTACACGAGGATGTAGAACGGCGGCAGTGAAGTGTCGGTGCGCAGGAACAGCGACGGGTCAGCAGTCGAAGGAGCGAACCCAAGAGCCGCAAGCGTCGTCCTCAGTGTGTCGTGCCACTCACGAGGCGCCTGGCGGAGACCGTAGACTGGCCGCCGGAGACTCCACTGGGTACCAGGAGGAAACGACCCAGTGAAGTCAGGTGGGCGGCGCAGCCAGATCTCCTCGTGCAGGTTGCAGTGTAAGAAGGCAGTGCTGAAGTCAAGTGAGTGAAGCTCGTAGTCACGCTGAGCGGCAACGTGCAGCAGCACCCAAAGAGTGGTCATCTTCGGGGTGGGGGAGAAGGTCTGGAAGAAGTCAACTCCCTCTCGCTGACTGAAGCCTCGAGCAACGTAACAAGCCTTGAAGACAGGCGGAGAACCCGGCGGCCGCTTCACCCTTAAAATCCACATGCCATCGACGATGTTCGCCCCAGGAGGGGGAACCTCATCGACGTAAGTGCCTGTGGACTTCCAGGATGCCATCTCTGCGTCCATGGCTGTCTGCCACTGAGAGGAGTACTCACCCGCGATCGCCTCAGCGTAAGAGCGCGGGGTCGGGATGTCTGGTGCATCCGGGTCTCCCTCAGGGGCAAGCAGCATGGCCACGAGATGAGGCGCAGCGGCTGCAAGACACTCAAGGTCCTCGTGCCTGTCCTCAAGGATGTCCGTGCTAAGAGCACACTCACCCCCGACGGACGGAGGACAGACAGACTGAGACTCAGCAACAAGACTAGCGGCGTAGTCTAGACGACAGGCAGCAGCAAAGTCAACAAGCTCAGCGACCAAGGCAGACGCAGCAGTAGACTCAAACGACGGGTCAGTGACAATAGTGGCTAACAGACGCGTGACAGTAGGGTGCTCAGCACGAAAGCGGTCAGACTCAGGGTCCGGAACGTCAGGCAGAGAGGACGCAGGGGGAGACGGCAGAGGAACAGGCTGCGGAGCAGAGGAAGGACGACGGACTACGAGGTGTGCGCTGGGGACAGCCGGCTGACGCGAACGAGGAACACGACGACCAGGACGAACAGGCGAGAAAGGACGCGACGCAGGCTCACGACGCTCAGCAAGACTACCTGTCTGCTCATTTTTAGGAGAAGGAGCAGGCAGCGGTGAGCCAGGCTGTAACGGAAGACCAGTAGATGACGGGAGAGTAAGAACCTGACGAAGAACAGAGTCAGGCGGCGGCAGAGACGACGGAGACAGCGGAGCGAAGAACAGTCGTGTCGGCGCAGTTGCACCAGTACCGGCAGCTCCAGCAGCTCCAGTACCTCCAGCAGCTCCAGCACCTCCAGCGCCAACTCCAGAACCTCCAGCCCCAGAACCGACACCTCCAGCCCCAGGGTCTCCAACCTCAGTGTCTCCAGTAGCAGCACCCCCAGAACCAGCACCTCCAGTCCCAGGGTCTCCAGCCGCAGTGTCTCCACCAGTAGTACCCCCAGAACAAGCACCTCGAGTCCCAGAGTCTCCGGCCTCAGTGTCTCCAGCAGCGGCACCCCCAGACGCAGCACCCCCAGCCCCAGCAGCTCCAGTACCTCCAGTACGAGCACCTCCAGGACCAGCGACTCCAGCACCTCCAGTAGACAAAGTACCAGCACCACTCCTAGCTCCAGGGACGTCAGCAGAAGTACCTCCAGCAGCAGAGCCCCGGGCTCCAGCAGCGCGACCCTGACGGCGACCGTACCAGTCGTGCAGCTGCTGTGAGGTGAGAGGTGTACGCGGACGTAGGCGGCTACTCCAAGGAGACCGCGCAGCAGTGGCCAGGTGGCGGCCAGTCTTGGAGCACGTGCAGATCGCCACACGTTGTCCTCCAGGAGTCCAGGTGTCAACCCAGTGATCCTGGAGGACGGCGTTGCTCACCAGGTTCGTAGAGAACGAGGGAACGTGGAGACCTGACAGCTCACCAGACGGGACCGCCGGGCACGGGAGCACAGTCGTGGCTCGTGCAAGCACTGGGCCCCCAGAGGGGTCAGCCAGTGAGACAGGGACAGGTGCAGGGAGGGGAGTGACGGTGGTGCTATCGCGAAAGAAACAGCGGGAAGCACCAGAGTCAAGTGTAAACGTGTGCAAAGCCTGAGGCGACGCAGTACCAAGGGGAGCAGACTCACTAGCACCTAGGGCTGCAGCCCCTATACCGGGGTCAATACCAGGGTCAGGCGGCACACACAAGTAGCAGTCACCCTCAGCACTAACAGTCAATGCATACATGGCAGCAAGAATAACATCATAGTCCAGATCAAAGATAGGCACATCACGCCTAAGCAGCTCTGCCCAGTTGGGGAACTCAGTAGCATCAGGATACTTGGCGCGCCAGGCGTCACTAAGCCTAGCGAAACAGCGGTCAGAACCCCGAGTCGCCCCACGCCCAGCATACCAGTCATTGAGCTGCTGGGAGGTGAGGGGAGGACGCTGCTGCTGCTGCTGTGGCTGCTGCTGCTGCTGCTGCTGCTGCTGCTGCTGGCCACCAGTGGGGCCACCCTTCTGGCCAGATCCACCCCCACTCCCACCTCCACCGCCACTGCCGCTGCCTCCTCCCCCACCACCTCCGCTGCCGCCTCCACCGCCCCCGGTCCTGCCGCCACCCCACCCACCGCCTCCACCCCCACGTCCACCCCCACCACCCCCACCACCCCCGCCGCCTCCACCACCGCTCCCTCCACCGCCACCTCCGCCACCCCTGCCACCCTTGCCGCCCTTGCCACCGCCGCGCTTCCCACCAGGAGCGGAAGCCGCTGCGACCTTCTCCGCACCGAGGAAGTCGACAGCAGTAGCAGCAGAGGCGTAGGAGGGGGCAAGAGGGGAGGGGGAGCACCCCTCAAAGAGGGGAGTGCGGGGAGTGCCACGAGCAGCACCGACAGCGAGGATGTTCTTCTCTGCTGCGACTAGCTGCTGCGCGAAGTCGTCCAGAGTGATAGTGGTAGGATCCTTGGCAAGGAAGTGATCCCTGACAGAACGAAGAGTGTCAGGGAGGCGGGTGACGAGGATGTAGAGGGTAAAGTACAGCGGGGGGGTGTTCGTGGCGAGGAACTCGTCGGTAAGAGCGGCACGAAAGCGGGCGTCACTAGCGCGGAGGTGAGTGATAAGGTCGGCAGCAGTGTGAAACGAGGCTAAGTCTGGGAACAGGTAAGGCAGGATGAGACTACCAACGGTGGCTGTGGTCGGGGCGGAATAGCGGGCAACGACAGCATCATACAGCGTCTTAGCA